TTTTTTTTTTTTTTGTTTCCTGAAAAATGTTTTAAAAAATGACTTAAACCATCTTGATAGCAAAGCATAGTTTAAAAAAGTAAAAAAAATCCATCCATCCATTCATCCATTTTCTTGATATGCTCTTCCTTTTCCAGGTTGTAGGTAAGCTGGTGTTTATCTCCATGTACGAGAGGCGGGGATCACCCTGGACAGGTCGCTAGTCCATCACAGTGAATTCAAAATATCCTGTATTCGTTACAACAGTTCCTAAATAAGCTGGGAAGGTGGCAGTGTTGGGTTTTCATGTTGTCTCTTCACTAGAACACTGCAGTTGTTCCTAAAAGGAAGACTTTCTGGAGAGACAAATAGTATCAAAGTATCACTTCCTTTCTGGTTTTGCTTCCAATTGATGCTTTTTGAAAATCAAACGCTCGTTCAAAAGCCGAACATTTGTGAAAGACATTTCTTTTTGTTTTGTTTTTTTACAACCATAGTGCAAGCCTACAGGGGGTGAGAATTCGATACTAAAACGACAAGAGTTTGGGTGGAGTAACACTTTAATAACGCACATTGTGCAAGTAGTTGTTGATAGCCAGAAGCACAGTGTACTGGACTGCAGAGGGGTGGGATGAGCTTAAACTTTAATTCCCACTCTGCAGTAAATTAGAGCACAGCAGGGTAATGTCTGTTTATTCCAAATACAGCTGCCTGGGCCTCCCTGCTATCTCTCCCCACAGACCCCACCACGGCTCCAGGATCACCTGGACTTCAAGTACACACACAAGTATTCCTTTACAAAACGAGTATTAAGCAAATACATGCACTTGCATAAATAGGCAAATGTGCACATATTTAGAGATGCAAACACAGACTCATACTAGACTGATGCCCTTTTATACAACGATGTMAACAGTGGTTTAGCACTGCAACACATATAAATATTTTTTTTTCTTCAGCTCTGTAACACCAGTGACTTTGGTGCTGAAATAAAATAAACACATAAAAGAAAACACTGTGGGCAGTTCACTTTAATTTATACTCTTTTTATACTCTTTTGAGAAAAAGATGCTTACACAAATTGTTCCAAAAGATTAAACAAATATCAGTTTACATAGCAGTGACGACTTTTTTTGGTCAGTAAATAGGAAGGCTCTATTGTGGCTCTAATAAAAAGTTTCATACTGATTGATATTAAATACAACTTTTCTTAATGTGTTTTCAGTAACAAATAAATGAATACCTTCCTCACAGGCCAGCTGCGTCGCTTCTTATTCATTTCAAAGATGTCATTTGCTGCCCTCTGCTGGTAAGCTTAGTCATTGCACGTGGTAAAGGACACCTTTAAATCTTATGCAGACTTTTTTTTCCAAGTAATTTCTGCTCAAAAAGTGCATACAAGTAGAACTTTGAAAAAACAGATTGATTGAACAAAAAATTGTTTCCTTGGATTAATCTCTTCACCTGTTTTATTTCTCATTTGCTTTGGTACATTTCTCAAATCAGAACTGAAATTCTCCAAACTAATCTTCACATCATTGGGTCACTTGTGCACATCAAAACAACAGATTCTCATTTTTTTTAGCAATTTGTAAATACTTTGGTCCATGCATGAAAATGATTCTGTACATTATTAGTTGCTTTTGTCATGTTGATCAAAATAATTGTGTCTCTGTTTAATAATCTCACCCACACAACATCTAGGCTTTGGTTCCTCACCTAAGTCTTCACATGCAAAATGGTTGAACAAGTTCTTATATGTGAGATTTTTATGACTTTTTCTAAATCTGTCCTGAATACAGAACCAGAGAGGTGAAGAAGAAGATGGAGACGATAACCCTAACCCAGTCCAGTATGATTTTTCACAAACTAAATTACTTCAAGGTGCACTACAATAATTTCACATGTCATTACACTGGTAGTTATGAAATAAACTCACTTTTATCTCAATTGAAAATTTATGTGACTTGGGACACATCAAAGTGGTTATATACAGTTGTGGAACCCATCCGATCTTTTTGTCTCCTTGTGCTAAGAGATCATTTTATAATCACTGCAGCATCCTCTAATGTTGGCACATCTTTACCACCAATGAACGTTAACTTCCAAAGAAAGTAACACAAAGCACAAGCTTAATTACGGTTATTGCTTTCAGGAAATGCTGAGAATAATCCAGGTCCTGACTCTCTGATTTTAAAACTCAAAAATAAATAAATAAAAATAATAAATAAATAAATAAATAAATTAATAAATAAATAAATAAATAAATAAATAAATAAATAAATAAATAAACAAACAAATAATGCATTTTTATGGCTCAGTACTGTTTCTCATTCTAAAGTAATTTGAAATACTTACGTCAAACCTAAAGGACTTCTCTGAGATCATTTAAATATCAAAGGTTAAAAGTGAACAAATACAACACCTCCTCGTTGACTCAATCAAAGTGCTTTATTATCAACAATGCCATTCAAAAACAGGGATGCCACTGTAAAAGACGACGTGTTTGGAGCTACTTATGACTTGACTTCATTGACAACACTTTTGCTTCTTTATCAGTCATTTCTCAAATCCCCCCAACACGTGTATTAATCTATTAAAGGCCTTTCTGTCAAACTTAGAACAACGGCAGTGTTCAGAAACACAGTGGAACAGTGACGATGCCCACATGTGGAATTATAACATTTATAATGATAACCATCACAATGTTAAAATAATAATAGTAGCTACTTGACTGAATGACAAAATAAAGCAGTGATTTAAAAAAAAGTCCAAAAAACCCATTGGTTTCTGATGGGCGTGACCACTGACTGAACAGATAAGACACAGGTTTAACAAAGCCTGGCTGTTAGCCTGGTCAGGGGCAGGCTAGCAGCGCAGAATAAATTGCCATCTTAATTTAAGCGCTACTGCTATTTTTGAAATCGAATTGAGGCTTAATTTAGACAGGACATCTGCACAATCCTGGCTTAATCTCCTATCCTGGTTTTGTGAAACGGCCCTCAGGTGAAAGCTGACTTTAATCCAGAACATCATGTCATCTTTTTAGACCCTGTCTGCAGGGATCTCATCCCTGAACAAGAGAGGGGTCAGACTGGAGATGACTTGTCAAAGTATGTGATAGTTTGGGATAATGTCAGTTTTCATCGCTCCAACATCACGAGGCAATGGTCTATGACCCACAACATGATGCTGATGCAGTTCTTCTTACTCTACTCCCTATTTCTTAACCCCACTGACGAATGTTTCTTAGCAGCCACACAACCTTTCTGGCTCCATGAACGTAGCATATGATGACATCACAGCAGATGTCTGCAGACATTCTGATGGCATTGACACATACATTGAGACAGAAATTTAGTTTTGAGAGACGATTTAGGGATTTTGAGTAAGAAATTGGGTTTTGCAAGCAATCCATGGTGTGTTGCTATTTGCATGAATTGTTTTGAGAAATGCACTTACTGTTTTGCAGATGTCCAATATGATTTGAGGTGTATGAAGGACCGAAACTGACATAATTAAAAAAGCAGAAATATTTAAATAGCTCAATAAATTAAAAATGCAGTTGAAGCACACCTATTAATTTGCATTTAGTTTCAAACAAAGACAAGGAAGAAAAACATTTTTGCCTGTGCTTTTGTTTTAAACTTTAAACTTTGAGTTAAATTGACGCAGCACAAGCATGCACAATCAATCTGCACAAGAATCCTGGTCTTTCCTGTCCATTGACCAAAAGGGGCTGACCAAAGACGTGCAGCCCACCTTATTTGCATAATTATTGCGTATTTATTATGTGCTAAAATATATCATTTGTTGGAACTAAGCTGGAATGATAAATATGAAGGTCAATTAAACTATAAAACATGAGGCAACGTTCTCCTTTTTAAATTAATTGGCGCAATTTATTTA